AGAGTCTTAACTGAGCCCCTGCTAGGCACAAGGTATTCTGCTAGGTGCTTTCCTTTAGATTACTGAATTTATATCCAGTCCTAGGACAACATGATCTTTCAGAATGGCTGGCATAATGGAGTGAGAAAAAATCACTAAGAGAAATCTTCAATGATTACAGGTTATCCTCTGTCCTAAAAGGCTGAGAGAACAAGTCTACACTCATCGAATTGAACCAGCCTACTTTAGAGTATAGGTGGCCTGATAAAAGGCATATATTACCTAGAGAACATCTAAAAACTGAGTTGGAAGCTGAGATGTTTTACCTAAACATTCTGGAGCCTTAACTGGGAATAAAGAGGCATGGGAGCCTCCTTTACCCGTATCCTGCCTCCTTTCTAACCATCAAGACAAATCTGGAGCCTATACAGTTGTAGAAATGTCAAAACTTGGACTTAGCTATTTAAAAAGATTTATGTACAACAACCAAATTAGTATAATCTCAGTAAAAATAAGTACTTAATAGTCATATTAACCACTTCCCCAAAAACCATTTAGTAATGAGGCTGAATGTGAATTGTCACATTACCTGAGCATAAGAGCAGCATAACAGGAAATAGAACATGGCCATAAATTAAGACAGAACAAAGAAAGGAACCCCTTAAATTCAATGCAGGGTGCTCTTTTTACAGTTTTATCCTCCTTATAATTTCTGACATCACTGATTTTCAACTGCTACAACACCTGCCCCAGACACCAATGAAGATCACTGTTGTTTAAGGAAGAGATTTTGTGAATGCCTAGAGCTTTAGGCCTATAGGGCCCACCAGGATGACGTATCTTCTCTCACGTCACTTCTGGCCTGATGATTTTATTTAAAAGTACTGAATAATTATTTAATAAATATTTAGGCTGCGTACAGTGGCTCACACCTGTAAATGCAGCACTTTGGAAGGCTGAGGCAGGTGGATCACTTGAACTCAGAAATTTAAGACCAGCCTGGGCAAAACAAGACTGCGTGTGCGTGCGTGTGTGTGTGTGTAGATATATATATACATATATGTAAAACTATATATACACATATATATATAAAACTATATATATACATATATAAAACTATATGTAAACATATATAAACGACATATAAACATATATAAACTATATATAAAACAATATATATGTATATATATATTTTTGTTTGTTAGAAACAGGGTCTTGTTTCTTCTCTGGATTTTTATTTTGCTGACTTACTCTTATTTCCATTCTAATTAGAGATTTTATGTACATTAACCAAAAAGCATGGCCAAGTGTATATCTATGAGTATTAAGTGTGTATGGTGTGTGTGTGTGTGTATTCTATACTCAAGAAGACCCTGTTTCTTTTTTTTTTTTTTTGGAGACGGAGTTTCGCTGTTGTTACCCAGACTGGAGTGCAATGGCACGATCTCGGCTCACCACAACCTCCGCCTCCTGGGTTCAAGCAATTCTCCTGCCTCAGCCTCCCGAGTAGCTGGGACTACAGGCGCGCACCACCATGCCCAGCTAATTTTTATATTTTTAGTAGAGACAGGGTTTCACCATGTTGGCCAGGACGGTCTTGATCTCTTGACCTCGTGATCCACCCGCCTCGGCCTCCCAAAGTGCTGGGATTATAGGCGTGAGCCACCGCACCCGGCCAACAAGACCCCGTTTCTACCAAACTAAACACACACACACACACACACACACAGTTTGGCATATATATACCAAACTCTGTGTGTGTGTGTGTGTGTGTGTGTGTGTGTGTGTGTGTGTAGTTTGGTAGAAACAGAGTCTTGTTGAGTATAGAATACACACACACACACACACACACACTTAATACTCATATACAATTGGCCATGCATTTTGGTTAATGTACATAAAATCTCTAATTAGAATGAAAATAAGTGAGTAAGTCAGCAAAATAAAAATCTGGAGAAGAACCATAGCCCATTAATTTAGATTATAACATGAGTAATATTTTATCACTGTAAATACAATAACAAGGCATGAATATATCTAAGTCAACTGAAACTCAATTTCATCAAATAACTTCAGAACGTTGGTCTTTCTATGCCAGATACTATCCTAGGGTTAACTAAGAAGACTTAATGCTAACTTTAAGGAAGTGAGTCATACACTGAATCACTTTACTTATAGGAGGAATTTTTCCATTTGCAAAGGGCAATTCCAATCCTTGATTTTATAACTCATGGCAAAATAGACACTCTAATATAGTGCTGGGGGAGGAGAACTGGTAATTTAGTAAGATATACTAAAATTATAAATGCATAAATCCTCCGATCTGAATCTTCTACTTCTAGGAATTTGTCCTAGAGATAAACTTGAAATTGTGTAAAATGCCACTTTACAGACTAACTTACTACAGCACTATTAATGAAGGCAAATTTTTGAAAACAACCTAAGTAATTTGGGTACTAGTTGAAGTGTGATAGTTCCATGCAATAAAACTGCATGCAGCCTTAAAAAAAAAAAAGGCACAGAAAGCACTTTGTCCTGATATGACACCCCCCCCCACACAAATATGCTAAGATATAATAAATAAAAAGCCAAGAGCAGGCCAGGTGCAGTGGCTCACGCCTGTAATCCCAGCACTTTGGGAGGCTGAGGCAGGTGGATCATAATGTCAAGAGTTTGAGACCAGCCTGACCAACATGGTGAAACCCCATCTCTACTAAAAATATAAAAATTAGCTGGGCGTGGTGCCATGCGCCTGTAACCCCAACTACTCAGGAGGCTGAGGCAGGAGAGTCTCTTGAAGCTGGGAGGCAGAGGTTGCAGTGGACCAAGATCACACCATTGCACTCCAGCCTGGGCAACAGAGTGAGACTCTATCTCAAGAAAAAAAAAAGCCAAGAGCATAAGCATGTATAGTATTCTATGATATGTATAAAAAGGGGATGGGAAAGGAATAGGTGTATATGTACAGAGATATAATATCTCTAGTACCACAGGCACGTTACTTGCCTCGGAAGTGGGATTCGATGGGTAGGCAATACAATAAAAGATTTTTTATTTTTGAATTTTGCGCTACATAAGTGTATGGTTGGTTAAAACATTAAGTTTAACCAATGTATAACTTGTATAAAAAACACAGTATTTTAAGATTTATACATCCTATTTAGTATTTATACATCCTACAGGATTTTACGATTTATACATCATGATACAATACAATCTCAAAAGATTACATTGTAATTAAACACTACAAATCAGTGTAACAACTTTTGCTATTCCTTCTATTAAAATACCCACCAGTCCACTCTTAAATTTATTATTATATAGTCACAGAATAGAGAACCAGAAGGATCTCAGAAAAATCTGAACCTCTCAATTTATAGATAAGAAAACTATGGCACTGGCCAGGCCTGATGGCTCACACCTGTAATCCCAGCACTTTGGGAGGCCAAGGCAGACAGATCACTTGAGGTCAGGAGTTTGAGACCAGCCTCGCCAACATGGTGAAACCCTGTCTCCACTAAAAATACAAAAATTAGCCAGGCATGGTGGTGCATGCCTGTAATCCCAGCTACTACTCAGGTGGCTGAGACAGGAGAATTGCTTGAACCCAGGAAGCAGAGTGTACAGCAAGCCAAGATCATACCACTGCACTCCAGCTGTGTGACAAAGACTCTATCTCAGGGAAAAAAAAAAACAAAAAAGAGAGAAAAAAAAAACTGTGGCCCAAAGCTAAATAACTTCACCAAAAGGACACAATTAGTAGATGGCAAAGTATGGCCTAGGACCTGATTCCAAATCCAATCTGTTCTCATTTATTTCTTCTTCTACCCCCAAATGGTTTCTTAATTACCACAAGGAGCCAGCAGGTATGGGTCAAGATCCCAGTTGTATCTTGAGAGTACTATGAATGACAAAGCCAGGGTGAGCTGATATCCTACCTCTTGTGGGATACTTTTCAACTCACAGAGGAATCAGAGGGGTAAGGTGTTGCTTCTCAACTGGGTTATGTTTTAGCAAAGTGCCAAGAGGACTTAAAGCCATAGTATAAACATGGGGTGCGAAGTGGGGCTTTCTACAACGTCAGTAATACTAGAAAATTTGAGAAAAATGTTAAGCAACTAAATCAGGTAATTAAAAAGTGTTTTTGTATTCAAACAAACACCAATATATTGTGGCACTGAAGATAAAATATACATGAATATTTAACATAAACTAGACACTTTCATAGAAGTCTCATGCTGGTTCCAACTGAGTCTGATGCAAGGGGCTTAGAAGTACACATGTTCACTCTTAAACTCTTAGGAGCCAGGTAGGTTTGAGAACTACTATACCAAGAGAATTAAAATAACATTCAGAATGGTGGTGGAAAGGGAATAGAGTTAGAGCTACACAGACCTGGACGTGTAGCCTACTCTTGCTACTGTATGACCCTGGATCGGTTACTTAATCTTGAACTCAGAGCCTCAGTTTCCTCATCTGTAAAATATGGTCAATATTACTTAGCTTGTGATTTTGCTTTACATAATATATGTAAAGCAAACAGCCTGGACTCTAGAAAGACTGTAATAAATGATGGTTACTTGGCAGAATGGATGACTTGAGGTCAGGAGTTCACAACCAGCCTGGCCAACCTGATGAAACCCTGTCTCTACTAAAAATACAAAAAACTAGCCAGATGTAGTGGTGCACGCTTAGTCCCAGCTACTTGGGAGGCCAAGGCATGAGAATCGCTTAAATCTGGGAGGTGGCGGTTGCAGTGAGCTGACACTGCGCCACTGCACTCCAGCCGGAAAGACAGCGCAAGATCCTTTTGCCAAAATAAATAAATAAAATAAATAAAAATAAATGATGGCTACTTTAACTATCAGAATCTTTATTTGACTGTCTAGCCATTCATTTGGTTTCAATTTGTGAGAACAAGGTAAGGCAGGCAATATGTATTTATAAGCCCTCCCAACCGGCCACATCAATAAAACAGGCCAATAGGATAAAATTCCCTAACTGATCAGTTTTATACTCACGTATTTCATTTCAAACTTCTTAGCCAACATTTCCACTTCTTGCCTCTCCCGATGTTCATCATTAAATGGGTCTTCTGTATGAATGAGCTTCTTCTGATTCAAGGTGAATGGAAAAAGAAACGGAAGTATCCATTAGTATTACAACTAGTATTACTGTTTATTTATTATTATGTAATGACCACTTCAATTCTATTTCAATAAACATGATCTGAAAGGGAATAAACTGAGAATATAGAACATATGTTATATAGCTATGTTATTATTCAGATACTAAATCTTAAATTTAATCAATGAGACAACTTTTCCTAATACTAACAAGTAAGTCACAAGTATTAAAACTAAAAAATTTGGTTCATAGCAAAAAATACATGCAGTTGTGATGGACCCATATAAACTCCACAGTGGTTTGATGGCTAAGAACTCAACAATCCAAACTGTCTTCACCTGCAAAATGATCATATGGTCACCTCATCCATATCAAGGAAAAAAAAATCCTCAGGAACATTAGCTAATTGTGAAAATCTCACTTATAACTCTAATTTGATATCGTCACTAACAAAGATTAACTGCTTTGATCAGGAAATTCTTCTAAAAGGAGCCTAGATTATTAATCAGAGTCAACACTTAATCATCTGTCTGTAAGTTAACATTGAGTGTGCATAGCAGCTATCGCTCTCTGCTGAGGTCCAGTATAAACAACCATTATATCACCAATATCCTGTCAATGGATATCCATTCAAGGAATACACACTACTTTTAAACAAAGCTAGAAAAGTGAAGTATCTGCAAAAAGATTACATTAGCATGGCTTTCTTCTAGAAGGAGAAAGTGAAAGTTTATTATAAATCCATGATTTAAAACACACACCCAGAGCTAGAAGCCCACATTAGCTATCTATTTATAAAAATAAACAAAACGAGCACTCACATCCTTAAGTCTTCTATTTTTGTATCCAAAAAAACATATATATGGTTTTCAATGCACAAAGATAAAAATACCACTTTTATCCAATTTCAGACAACTATGAAGTCAAAAAAACAAGACTAGATATTTTTATGAAAATAGCATCTTCAGGTAATTAAAAATGAGAGTATACTATAACTGAAATACTGATACAGATTCAGTTGACACTGAAGGGCAAGAAAATGCAGAAAGAAGGAAGATTTGCACTTTGAAATTGAGAAACTTCGCCAGGCATGGTGGCTCACCCCTGTAATTCTAGTACTTTGGGAGGCTGAGGCGGGCAGATCACTAGGTCAAGAGATCGAGAGCATCCTGACCAACAGGGCAAAACCCTGTTGCTACTAACAATGCAAAAGTTAGCTGGGCGTGTTGGCATGCGCCTGTAGTCCCAACTCCTTGGGAGGCTGAAGCAGGAAAATCGCTTGAACCCAGAGGCAGAGGTTGCAGTGAGCCGAGATCACACCATAGCATCCCAGCCTGGTGAAATAGTGAGACTCCGTCTCAAAAATAAAACATAAAAAAAAAGAAAAAGAAAAAAGAAATTGAGATAATTCATCCTGAATTATAAAGGTTGAGACATGATCAGTCTAAAAATCATGACAGAAAAATGTGGACAGAAAGAATACAAAAAAATTCATCACACTTGGAACATTAGAATAAAGCCAGATACTTCTTTAAAGGAGTCACCTTTAGAATCAATTTTTTAAATTATTGTATAAGTAATACATTCATAGAATACTTCACTCCAATACAAGTTACCAATGAAAGGCTGGGCATGGTGGTTCATGCCTGTAATTCCAACAGTTGGGGAGGCCGAAGCAGGTGGATCACCTATGGTCAGAGTTCAAGACCAGCCTAGCCAGCATGGTGAAATCCCGTCTCTACTAAAAATACAAAATTAACCAGGTGTGGCGGCACATGCCTGTAGTCCCAGCTACTCGGGAGGCTGAAACAGGAGAATCACTTGAATCCGGAAGGTGGAGGTTACAGTGAGCCGAGATCGTGCCACTGCACTCCAGCCTGGTCGAGACAGAGCAAGACTTTGTGTCAAAAAAAAAAAAAAAAAAAGTTACCAATGAAAAACATAAACGTGACCCAAAGGGGGATAAACTAGTAAGAATAAACTAATAAGGAATCCTAGGCACGTCAGGGTATAGCCTTAACCAGAGGCCCAGGTTAAGGACAGTGAGCAATCACCATGCCTATTACAAAGTGCTCCCTCATGTACTGTGAAGCTCAAATACTTACTACAGTATGACCCATTTTAAATGTATAAATATAAACACATTGATCTATATTTTTAATAAGAATCACCTTATATGCCATCCTAAAATATTTTATGTACTTTATATAGGTATCAAAAGTACAGCTCCTATTTTCTCTTGACAGCCTACAAAAACAAATTTAAGAAAATGGTCTCACTTTTCTTTTATAGTTAAGAAAAAACACTCTCCCCCAATCAAGACTAAGCTTTTTTGTTTTTTCAGGTAAAAAAAAAAATCTGAAAATTATCAACTACCCACATGCAAAACTGATGCAGTAATTTTGTGCTTTGATCTTAACTCATCAACACCATTTTCAGGAAAAATGCAAAATATGCAAACAATGAATTACCATGGAATTCTCAAATAGTATAGTTATATTAACAAACTATAATCACTTATTTTTCTTTTTACAGTAAACGTTCAATTAATCATGTTCGCAAATGAGTGTTCTGGTTAACTGATTTTTCTGGTTTACTAAGAGGTAAACCTTTCCTTGTGTATCAATCATTGCCAAAATTTATTTCTAAAATGCACTACTGCTCTTGAGCCAGAAATAGTGACCAAAGTAATCCTTCAGGATAGAGATGATTCCAATGCCTGTCATCACCCTAAACAATCTCAATCACAGCACTGTACTTCACAGAGACATTAAGGTTAAAGGTTTAGCGGACCTGTAGTTTTGTTTTTCCTATTTTCCCAACACAAACTTACTTGATTGTGGTTTCTTCTCATTAGTAAAAAGAGAGCACAGAAAAATTTGATCGTATTCTAGTAAATCAGGGTTTTACTGTTCATGTACTATTTACATGCACCTTAATATGAAGAGTATCCATATGTAACATATCCTTTTTTTTTTTAATAGCCCCACATCTACCATTTTCAGCATCTGGAGCTAAAATCTTATTTTGTGTTAGATGGCTATTTCAAAATTTAGAGCCCTTTCTCTTCTAATTCTTCTAATTTTGGGAACCACCAACTTTCCAGATCAATTCTAATGTTTGCATTTTGCTTTTTGATGGTCTCTTTTCTAGGATTTCCTTTCATGAAACCATGACAATTTTACTTAAACAGATGTTTTCTATGCTTTCTAGCATAACAAGGGTACTCACTAGCAGCAATCATAGAAAAATATGGCAAATCTTTGTTGCAAAGGTAATTATATACAATGGATTTTGTTTTGTTCAGAATAATATGAAAAAGCATATAAGGTTGATATACAATGAGAAAATTGGGCCACTAGACAGTTACACTGTTTAAATAGAGTAAACAGAAAAATTAAATGGAATTATTCCTCTTTCTCCTATGACATGAAAGTAGTAGTTCTGGTGTTAACAAGTAAGCAAAACGAGGGTGTCAAAATGAACTTTTTTCTTTTTTATAATTAAATGATACACATCTATTATTAATTTGTAATTGCGATTACAGCATTCACAGAGACATAATAAAGGTCTTTGTATGTCTACTATGACTTAAATTTTACTTCATTTTGGCAGAATCTTTTAAACTATATGAGTTAATTGTAAGAAATTTTGTTTTAGTAAGAAATTATATCACTACGGAAAGAAGTACTAATAAAATTACATACATTTGTAAAGAGAGGATAATAGTTTTTACCTCATGGAGTTCTGCTGGACTACTAGAAAAACCATGTGCAGGGCTTAGAACTGTGTCTAGCACACAGTAAGAACTCAGTAAATGTAGTTACTGCCACGTATTTTTACCGAAAGATAATGCTTTCACCGTTAATTTATGAAAACTACAAAAACTGCAAACCAATTTAGATTAGCAGCTTAAATACAATTTGTTTGAAAAATGCTCCCATCCAATATTTTTAATACTCTTTTGGGGAAAAAAGTGACATCACATTTCTAAAGAAGAGGACGTAATCAAATGAGTCTAAAGAGCAAAATGCTACGTGGAAGTGACCAAAATGATCTCTCCCCTTAAACAATTCATTTTGGTTGAAGACATTTTGTAATGATTTGACCACACAACATTTCTAAATAATGATCAAAACATTGGCTGGCCATGAAGTAAACAAAATCTAATTGTTCAACATGATACTTAGTGACTAAGTGGTCAGTCATTTTGACCATAAAGGTAGTTGAAGATGAAAACAGAACAAGTGACTTCCGGAGTCCATTAGACCCAAGCTAAAGCAAAAACCTAATAACGGGCATAATTGCTACGCAACAGAGGAAACGGTTTTTCTTTCTTTACTGTCAATCTATCATTTCCCTTTCTAACTTACTTCCGAAGATCCACCAACTCACAACAATAAAAACTACAATTACCCAGCATAACCCCTACCCTTTCTCTATTGTTCACCACTTACATCAAAAGCCTACCTATATATTTTCAATAAACTTTTGAAAATTCAAAGCTGAGATTTTTTTCATCATTCTCCGAAAATTACAAAGGCCGAGTACAATATTCTTCTATAAACTCATGATAATACCCTTAAATAATATGACGGGTAGGTGTCAAATAAAACAAGAGACACCTTCCCATTCAATTACAATATGAACGAACTCCACAAAAAGGAAAGCTAAAAAGGTTTACCAATACCAACGAGAAAAATTAGTAACCAGATTAACTAACCAGATCCACTTCTCTATTCCTAAAGTGGAATCCTTAGTCTCTGAAAACCTTTAATTATTCTTAAATTCCTTCGATTAAGAAAAATATCACAGGCACGCAAGCACACCTCAGCAGCCAAGGCGCCCAGCAAAACAAACAGTGATGAGGATGATACGAGAGGGGTTACACAATCTCTCTGCTTCAGACTGGGGGGCGTGTCCCCCAAGGTTTTCTCTTCCTTTCTACTGGAACCACAGCTGTAGCGCCACAGGGAGAACCCAGCCACACGGCCTGCAGGGCCCCAGGATTTTGTGTGGGGAGCAGAAAGGAAAGAAGGAAAATCTGAGGTTCCGAAAGGTGCACAAGAAAACAGGCTCGGCGAGGCGTTGGGAGCGAGTATCGGGGGTTTGGGGGATTCGGCGCAGCCGGGGGAGAGCCTCGGCCATCGCCGGGAGTGGAGAAAGCAGCGCTCACCGCCCCGTCCACCCCTCCGCCCCGGTTCCCCGCACCCCACCCTCAGGGCGACCCGGACGCGCTTGGTGGGCGTCCCAAGGTGCAAACCAGCTGGGGAAGGCGGCGGGTCCTGAGGCTCCCGGGGTCTGGGGCAGGAGGGAGGAATCTTCTGTACCCGTTGTTCTCCGCACAGCAGCAGCTCCGGGTAACTGAACTCCACGCAGCTCTCGTCGGTGGGGTCCTTAAGCACCAGCTCCAGGCGCACAGTCTCTCTCGGCGGCCGCGGCGGCAGCTCAGCCCGGGAAGCCGACTCCCGCGGCGGGGGCGGCTGCAAGGGCAGCGGTGGGAGCGGCGGCGGCGGCTCGGGCCGCGGGGGCTCCCGCTGCAGCGACATGGACGGCTCGGCGCGGCTGACCTCGCGCTGGGGGAGCGGCTTCTCCCGCGGCGGGGGCTGCGCGTCCGAGCGGGGGGCAGCCTCCCGCGGGGCCGGCGGCTCCGCCCGGGCCGGCTCGCGGTACGGCTGCGGCTCCAGCCGGGGGGGCTCGCGGGGGTACTCGGGCTCGCGCTCGGGCCCCGGGTACTCGGCCTCGCGCCGCCGCACCGGTGACAAGCTAATGAACGCTACTCTGCGCGGCTCCGCCATCCCCACTGTTCTGGCCCTCTGCTTTCGCTCGAGCCGGCGCTCGCTTCGCCGCGCTGCGTGCCTCCCCGCCCTTCCTCTTGCTCCCCGTCGCTTTTCTTCCCTCCACCACCCTCAGCCGTCTCCGCCGACGCCACGGTGAGTGCGGACCGTGCCCCCTTCCCCGCTACTACGTTCTGATGGGATTCACCGCCATCGCCAGGGTCGCCGCGGCCGCCATGTTGGATCCCCCACATAAATAGAAGCAGGCCGCTGAGCGGGCGCATGCGCACAGAGAAGACGCTCGCGTCCACTGTCGTGGCTGTTGCTCAGTTTTCCTCCCAACAGTCTGGAGTCCAGACAGGTCGGCGGAAGTGACGAGAGGGCTCGGCCTGTTTCCTTGGAAACGGAGACGCCGTCTGCACCCTTCCTCCAAGGGAGGATTCTGGGGTTTCCCGAGTAGCTTCCTATTCGCACCCGGAAACCAGAGGCGCTCCTGGAGCTTCCTGGGATGAGCGTTGGGATGCGCCTGAGACCGACCTAGTCATGGCGCAGGGTCTCCCGCGCTGGGTTCTAGGGAGTTGGGCTTGTCAGCTGATTATTCAAAGTGGACCCTGGGCCAAGGTAGAGGGATGCGCTGGCCGTCGTGTATGACCGCCCAGTGTCCCCGTAGCCTTAAATATCCAGGGAAGAAAGGAAGTGCCCAGCTTCAGTCTGACTACCCCCAGCGGCTTCCCTCCGGAAAGCGCAGGCCTCCGCTTCCTAGAACTACTCTGGTTTCCCTCGCCTGGGTGCAGTGAGCGCTGCGTGGGGCCAGGGTCTTTAAATGTTCAATAACGCTTTGCAGTTGGAAAGTTAACAAGCAGATGAAGAGTTCTAGGTTCATTCATAACGCCAAAACTGTTGAAATCAGTAGAAAACTTCTTAAGAGAGTTTGGTGGTATTTTTGGAAACATACTTATGAAAAGAATGCTAAAGGACACATTTCAGGTTGGGGAAGGAATTGATTGGGCACGCCCAGTAGGCTCACTTGTAATTACTTAACTGAAAGTCAGGTTTAAAAGGATGAGAATTATTGGTCATTTTAATCCATTGAATAAAAAGTAAATCTGAGGGCCGGCCCTTCATATCCTGAAGGGAATCCAAGCCTTCTGTTAATTGCATTAACTGGATTAACATTTTTTAAAATACATAATTCTTGTTGCCCAGGCTGGAGGACAATGGCAGGATCTCGACTCACTGCAACCTCCACCTCCCAGGTTCAAGTGATTCTCCTGCCTCAGCCTCCCAAGTACCTGGGATTACAGGGGCCCGCCACCACACCCGGCTAATTTTTGTATTTTTAGTAAAGATGGGGTTTCCTCGTGTTGGCCAAGCTGATCTCAAACTCCTGACCTCAGGTGATCCATCCGCCTCAGCCTCCCAAAGTGCTGGGATTACAGGTGTGAGCCACCGCGTCCGCCCTACCTCGATTAACTATTGAGAGTTCTTTTATTAAGTCACTGTGACGTCACAGACAAATTCTGAGCGGGTTCCGTTTTTTCCTCCCTGTTACTTTCCCTACTTGGACTAATATGGTGATGAAAACTATGATTCCAAAGATCTCTCCCAGCTCTAAAACCCCATCTTTTCTCCTCGGCACCATGTTTTACCTCCATTATCTCCTTCCCTATTGCTCCTTTTCTGATTCCAAATTCAGGTCTCATTTTTGGATTGTCTTAGTGATACTTAAATGACCTTTCTGCCTTCAGTCTCTATTCCTGTCAGTCTTGAGATGGGGTCATATTAATGTCTCTAAAAGAGTTTTTATTATATCGTTCTCTGTCCTGGCTTCAACTTACCTACAAACTGAGTTTTATGTGTGTATACTCATATTCAATATCCTCCACAATTTAGCTCAGAGACTGCAGACTGGTGGTGTGCACCTTCTTCTGCAGGTGCGTTACTTATCCAACATTATCTTCTAACTTCTAACCCACTGAATTTTCCAGTGTTTTGATTCACAACCCACAGTAAGAAATTTTATATTGTAACCCAGAGTGTACACCCGTATATCCGTAACACATATGTGCATATCTGAAACATAAGTTTCATAATACTTATCTACTGCTCAGGATAAAGTAAAAGCAACAGAGCTAATTTAATATAAAAATATTTTATAATACAGTGTAGAAAAATGTTAATATAAATCATATAGAAGCAAATTAGGAAAGATTTTATTTAATGCCAGGGAAGTTCTTGCCTGTTCATAGGTTTATTCCACTCCAGAATTCATGAAGACAGTGGTACAGAAACATCTGGTCCACTGTGGTGCCTGATCTTTTTCTCTTCTAAACTGATCAAAATTAAAAACCCTAGTTCACATATATAGGCAGTCATGAATAGTAATAATATGTATCCATGTTCTGTATAGCAATGAATTATTCTTTAATCTTAGTCCAACATGATAAATCATATCTGACAATCACTTTTCAGTGTAAATGAAGTACTAAGCTGTAATAATTTATTCTCTTCATAAAATTCTAAGTTTAGGCCGGGCACGGTGGTTCATGCCTGTAATCCCAGCACTTTGGGAGGCCTAGGCAGGTGGATCACCTGAGGTCAAGAGTTCAAGACCAGCCTGACCAATATGGTGAAACCCAGTCTCTACTAAAAATACAAAAATTAGCCAGGTGTGGTGGCATGTGCCTGTAGTCCCAGCTACTCAGGAGACTAAGACAGGAGAATTGCTTGAAACCTAAGAGACGGAGGTTGCAGTGACCCAAGATCATGCCACTGCACTTCAGCCTGGGTGACAAAGTAAGGCTCTGTCTCAAAAAACAAAACAAAAAAACAAGTTTAATGAAATTAATTATTTAAATCAATAAAAATGATCTGGTTCACCCTATTAACTGCCCAACAAACTGTTTGAAAAACTATATATTCTTTGTTAAGGGGCAGATTACAAGAAATGTTTTCCATGTTCTTATTTTAAAAAACGAGATTCTGATGTCATGAACCTAAATCAAAATTCACAAATGGTAGCTGAAATCCCGTCAGATTTTCAGCCCAGTACAACGTGAATCCATAGTTATTGTGCATAAACAATTCAAAATTAGTTTATAAAGAAAATGTCAACAAGTCATATAACCATGACACATTATTACCGATGGGTTTCACCATACTTCAATAAGGCACAGCAGATGTAAAACATCTGATAGACTGCTCAGAAAATTAAAGCTATTAGAACTATAAATAAGGAATGCAGGCTGGGCACAGTGGCTCACGCCTATAATTCCAGCACTTTGGGAGGCCAAAGCGGGTGGATCACAAGGTCAAGAGATCGAGACCATCCTGGTCAACAAGGTGAAACACCATCTCTACTAAAAATACCAAAAAAAAAATTAGCTGGGCATGGTGGTACGCACCTCTGGTCCCGGCTACTCAGGAGGCTGAGGCAGGAAAATTGCTTGAACGTAGGAGGCGGAGGTTGCGGTGAGTCGAGATCGCGCCATTGCATTCCAGCCTGGGCAACAACAGCAAAACTCCGTCTCAAAAAAAAGGAGTGCATAAATACAATCATAGCAATGCCAATACATTAGTGCCATTTAAGAAAGTGAATAAGATGTAATGTAAACACACCTGATAGTTCCCCCTGTAAGCCACTTTCCCGCTGATTTATAAAGCTATGGTTCAATAATTCTTTTAAAAAGGACAATTTTTCTACACTGCTGCATATAGTAATTTCATTGTACATTCTTGATTACGAGAATAGTCTTCAAATCCTCTTGCAGAGCTTGACAAATCAGGATTTCTCCAGAAAGTTAGCTTGTCATATTTTCAGCAGCCTTTAGTGCTTTGGTAGTCTTTCGAAGCTCCTTAGTAACTGGTGATACTTAGTTCCTTGGTTATTAATTAGTTCTGGGTCAAGTCCTTGTTCAGAAAGTTGTACACAAATAGCCAGAGTCTCCAGTAAGCCAGTATTTAGAATCTGAAGCAGAACATCCACGGTCTCCCTCACCTCTGATACACTGCTACCGCCCCAATGGTGCTACTACTTGTCATCATGGTGGACAAGGGACCTATTTTAAAATTCTAAACATACTTTTCTCTATAGAGCCAATAATTTCTCTATAAAATTATCTTGCTACACATTCTGGCATAAAAATATTATGCAACTTTCAGTATTAGTGCTCTCAGCAAGCTGGACTGTTACTACATCATGGTCATTATTGCTGTACATATTCTGTGGTAGGTAATACACTAATACTGTGTTTTTGCCAAGAAGTATGGTTTTTCATTTATCAGCTGATTTGTCACCAAAAGCATATGCGTCATACATATTTCTTTTGCACACTGATTGTCTTTTTCCTTAAGATTTGTGAAACAGCTTTCTGAGCTTGGACCTAGTTTGCCAGGACATGACTAAACCAAGAAGTTGGAATCGTGGGTAAATATGGGACCCACTGTGGTGCTTCCCTCCAGAAAATCATGAAGATTGAAATCAGCCAGCATGCCAAGTACATTTGCTCTTTCTGTGGCAAAACCAAGACGAAGAGACGAGCTATGGGGATATGGTGCTGCGGTTCCTTCGTGAAGACAGTAGCAGTGCCTTCACGCAGGAGACTCATTGTCTGGACCTACAATACCACTTCTGTAGTCATGGTAAAGTCCACCATCCGAAGACTGAAGCCACTGAAAGACCCGCAGACGCTCCTGTACTCTTTGAGACATCGCTGGCCTATAATAAACGAGTTAATTTATGTAACCAAAAAAATTAAAAGATATGTGGAACAACTGAGAAATTGTGCCAATAACTCTACCTGCCTCCCTGCCCCTTTTTTGCAACGGAGTTTCGCTCTTGTCGCCCAGGCTGGAGTGCAGTGGCGCAATCATGGCTCACTGCAACCTCCACCTCCTCCTGGTTCTAGTGATTCTCCAGCCTCAGCCTCCCGAGAAGCTGAGATTACAGGCATGCGCCACCACACCTGGCTAATTTTGTATTATTAGTAGAGACTGGGTTTCTCCATGTTGGTCAGGTGATCTGCCTGTGTCCGCCGGACTTCAGGTGATCTGCCCTGCCCAGCCTCCCAGAGTGCTGGGATTACAGGTGTGAGCCACTGTGCCCAGCCTCAGATGTTCTTTTAATTTTGAATGTATTAAGCTTTCATTTGCAGGAAACTTGTTTTTTCTTTTTAGAACAAGAGGTAAAGTCAGTGTTTAATGATAGACTTAACATTTTCTCAGTATTTCCACTATAATTCCAGACCCAGCAGCTAAATTGGAATATGTTTCTGTATTTTTCACTTTCTTATTCCTTTTTTTCTCATAATTAAACAATCTCTTTGAGAGCAGTTTATACTAGTTTGATTAATATATCATAGTTCACACACACGTATATCATATTGATGATGTTTTCCCAAAAATATAAAGTTCTTCAACGGAACCCAGTTGAAAATTCTGAGAGTTTCTTAAATCATTGAATGAAATTCTCCTGTACTTCCTTTCATAAGTCATGGGCAGTTGTGATAATATAAAATTAGGCTGTACAATGTTATCTGTCCAACAAAGGAACCTAGGAGTCCCAGTGAGATCTCAGTGCCTGCAGTCACCCCTCCCTCCCTGTCCTTCTCTTCACCAGCAGCTAAAGAGTCTGTATCCCTGGATAAGGATCAGTGTGGTACACACTCATATTTTCCGTAAGAGTCTTTTGTAATATATTGCATGTTTTAGAAATGCTACTTGTGACCCTCAAAGCTGTTTCACAAGCTTCTAACTGGCTGCAGTCACCAATTTGAAAATTAGTTCAGTCCATTTTAGCAGAGACTGAGCAGCTGATGATAAAGTAATTTTGTTACTAGGAACTAGGGGTAGAGCACACCTGCTTTTTCCAGATTCACATTTCCAAATTCGCATTCCATGGAAATTCATATTTCCATGCGAACTTGGAAAATCCCAAATGCTTTTGTTGGGTAGTGGGGGGCCCTTCAAGGAGGCTGAGAAGAGGTCAAAGTCAATTCCTGTAGAATGCAGAGTCACATATCTTTACTATTTAACTGTAATGCTATCGGGTCGGAACAGGCACTCTTGTTTTGTTTAGCAAATAAATAAATACATAATAAATATCCTGTGAGATCACGTTACTCATCCCTTTTTGACAACATTTGTTTAAAGACTAAATGCCTTGTGAAGATCCAAAAGAAGAGTATCACAGAGAAAGAAAAGCAAGTACAAAGCCTGTGGAGAGAGTGAGCTTGGTGGGTTGGAAGAAAGGTGAGAGTGGCCAAAGTGCAGTGAGGAGGGTGGGCCGAGGGAGCGAAGGGCCAGGTCATGGAATGGCATAAAGAGATTGGATCTGGCCAGGTGCGGCGCTCACACCTGTAATCCCAGCACTTTGAGAGGCCAAGGCAGGAGGATCACTTGAGCCATGAAGTTAGAAACCAGCCTGAGCAACATAGTGAGACCCGTCTCTTAAAAAACTAAAAGTAAGGCCGGGCGCTGTGGCTCAAGCCTGTAGTCCCAGCACTTTGGGAGGCCAAGGTGGGTGGATCACGAGGTCAAGAGATCGAGACCATCCTGGTCAACACGGTGAAACCCTGTCTCTACTAAAAATACAAAAAATTAGCTGGGCATGGTGGTGCGTTCCTGTAATCCCAGCTACTCAGGAGGCTGAGGCAGGAGAATTGCCTGAACCCAGGAGGCAGAGGTTGTGGTGAGCCGAGATTGCGCCATTGCACTCCAGCCTGGGTAACAAGAGTGAAACTCCGTCTCAAAAAAAAAAAACTAAAAATAAAAAATTAACCAGGCATGGTGGCACACACCTGTAATCCCAGCTACTCAGGAGGCTGAGGTGGGAGGATCACTTGAGCTGAGAAGGTTGAGGCTACAGTGAGCTGTGATCGTACCATTGCACTCCAGCCTGGGCAACAGAACAAGACCCTGTCTCAGAAACAAACAAACAAACAAACAAAAAACAGAGAGTTTGGATCTTATAAATGAAACTAGAAGTCATTGGGAAAATTTTAAGTAGAGAAACAAACACATTTCAAGAAAGCAGGAGTAGTCAACTAACTTTTGAATGCTACCAAGAATTCTAGTAGGATGAGAGCAGAGAGATAATTCCTGGATTTGGCAAAATGGAGATTACTGGTAACCTTGATATTTTATTTATTTATTTATTTTTAAAATAGAGAGCGGGTTTCGCCATGTTAGCCAGGCTGGTCTTGAACTCCTGACCTCATGATCCACCCACCTCGGCCTCCCAAAGTGCTGGGACTACAGGCATGTGCCACCACGCCTGGCCTTTGATGAGCTTTTTATTTTTCATTTTCACTTCAGGCAAAGAAGGTTGCGTTAATCATATTTCACAGTTTGTGGCACTGTATCATCATCAGTCTTTTTCTCTCTCTCTGAAATTCCTCTTTATTTCCATTCATTGTGCCTCCAATGGCAAATATTGTACAATTTTAACTCCTTTTTTTTTTTTTTTTTTTGGAGACAGGAGTCTCACTCTGTTGCCCAGGCTGGAGTGCAATGACACAATCTCGGTTCACTGCAACCTCTGCCTCCCAGATTCAAGCGATTCTCCTGACTCAGCCTCCTAAGTAACAGGGATTACCGGTGTGTGCCATCATGCCTGGCTAATTTTGGTATTTTTAGTAGAGATGGGATTTCGCCATGTTGGCCAGGTTGGTCCTGAACTCCTGACCTCAGGTGATCCATCCACCTCGGCCTCCCAAAGTGTTGTGAGCCACTGTACCCAGCCAATTTTAACTTTTTGTATGTGACCTTGTATATATTATTATTCTACATGAATATATTTTAAATTTGTAAATTTATGTATCTCGTTCTGTTTTTTTTTTTTTTTTTTTTTTTTTTTTTTTGCTCCACCATATTTTTAAGATCCACTAATGGTGCTGTGTATAATATATTCATTTTACAAATTATTTTTTACAACTTTTGAGTAGTAATCTGCAATTGCATATTCTGCCTGTTTACTTCCTCAGTGATAGACACTTGGATTACCTCCAATTACCCTCACCACCACTACCGCAGTGCAACTGTGAACATCCTCCGTCATATGCTCTTTGAGTCTATATGAGGATTTATTTGGGACACAGACCCAGGAAAGAACTGTTGGGTCCTAGAGCATGCATACACATTAAGAGACTATTCTCCAAAATGGTCACGCCAGTGAAGTCAGGGTTCCTGTATCACCTCTTTTTCTCCTACGGCATTGCCACCAATAAATACAGTTTAATTTTTGCCATTCATTATTTTAATTTGCGCTGCTCTGGTGACTAAGGAATCTCAGCATCTCTTCATATATCTGCTAGTCTTTTAAGTTTCTTCTTCTGTAAGTTGCCTGTTTATAACAATTATTCATAGTTCCATTATGGTTCCAGTCTTTTTCTGGTTGAATATGCAATGATTTCAAATCAGTGAGGAAAGCATAAATTTATTCAAAAAACAGCTTAAGACAACTAAGTAATTATCTAGACGAATAAAATTGTATCTTACACCTTACAAAAGGATAAATTTTTAGTGAATAAATGTTTTAACTATAAAAAAGTAGTCATAATATTTGTAGAATAAATTGGCTAAGATTAAAAAAAATTAGACTAGCAAAGGCCTTTCCAGGTATGATTGATAATTTCAACTGCTTAAACAGCATTAATCAAAAGACAAATGACAAAACTGGCAAAAAATGTGCAATACATTTCACAAAGGGTAAGTTTCTCTAATCTATAAAAAACTCATGCTGGGCGAGGTGGCTCATGCCTGCAAATCTAGCACTTTGGGAGGCTGAGGCAGGTGGATCACCTGACGTTGGGAGTTCGAAACCCCTGACCAACATGGAGAAACGCTGTCTCTACTGAAAATACAAAAATTAGCCGGACATGATGGCCCATGGCTGTAATCCCAGCTACTCATCCCTTATGTTATCAGGAGGCTGAGGCAGGAGAATCCCCTGACCCTGGGAGGCAGATGTTGCAGTGAGCCAAGATCACACCATTGCACTCCAGCCTGGGGCACAAGAGGGAAACTCTATCTCAAAAAAAAAAAAAAAAGAAAGAAAGAAATAAAGAAAGAAAGGAAAAAGAACTAAAGATCAAAGAAACAATAACCTAATAGAAAAATGGAGACAGATATGAACAAATAGTTCACAGGAAAGGAAACATAAGGCTCTTATGTGAATAAAATATGTTCAACCTAAATTGCTGAACCCAATAATATGCGTATTTTTAACTTTGATAAATTGCCTTCCATAGAAAGTACTGATTTATATTCCACTGGCAATACATGAGGGTCCCAATACCCTTGGCAACTTATGTTATCAAATGTTTTAATCTTTGCCAAAACTGATATATTTCCAAAAATGATTTTGGAGTACATTTCTCTTATTTTGAGTAAATCCATGCAATCAAATTCTATGCAATGTTTTAAAAAATTAATTACCAAAATCTATTCTTTTTTTTTTTTTTTTTAAATTTTTTATTTGATTATAGGTTTTGGGGTACATGAGCAGAGCATGCGAGACAGTTGCGTAGGTACACACATGGCAGTGTGCTTTGCTTTTCTTCTCCCCTTCACCCACATTTGGCATTTCTCCCCAGGCTATCCCTCCCTACCTCCCCCTCCCACTGGCCCTCCCCTTTACCAAAATCTATTCTTAAGTGAAAAAAGGAATATGCAAACTATTATTTAGTGTACTACCATTAGGATAAAAAGAGGAACATTTGTTAAAAGGGAGAAATAATTTATTATTTGCATAGGTATGTATGTATATGTATATAAGAATTTATTTTAAAAATCTCTTCGTGTATATTCACAAAACTAAGAGCTGATCTCAAAAGGGACATTACATAGCCCAGTTTTAGAAACAGAGCAGAGACCCATAGATTTAACTATGGAGACAGGCCAGCTGTGCTTGTTTTGCGTTGGTGCAAACTCTGATAGCAGATCATTCGCATCTTTTTTAGGCCAGGCACAGTGGGTCACACCAGTAATCCCAGCACTTTAGGAGGCCAAGGTGGGAGGATCACCTGAGGTCAGGAGTTCGAGACTGGCCTGGCCAACATGGTGAAACCCCCTCTAGTTTTAAAAACAAAATTTAGCCTGGTGTGGCAGCTTGCACCTGTATTTTGCTTTGTTTAATTAAGGAATTCTAGACATACAGAAAGATGCATACAACTTGATGAATTTTACCCTTTGCACACATTCCTTTAACCACTACCCATTCAACATGTATAGGATTTCCATCGGCCAGGCACGGTGGCTCATGCCTATAATCCCAGCACTTTGGGAGGTCGAGGCAGGTGGATCACGAGGTCAAGAGATCAAGACCATCTGG